ATTATCAAACATTAGTTATTACAAAATTTCAGATTTCATATTTCATTTAGTTATCGTAATGATTATAAAAAGTCTACGGTTTTTTAAAAACTTTAGTAAACTAAATAAGTAAATAATTATTTTTTATTACAAAAATTTTCGACCGATTTTCTGCAAAAATTTACTTTTATTTTAATATAATTAGTTTGCTTTTATTTTATTTTATTTTAATTTTACTTTTTTTGTAATTTTGCCTACTAACTGACACAATTTTATACAACATTTCCTGCATCAAATTGCTCATTTCTTTAAAAGGTTTTTCACTCATTCAATTAGAATCATGTTAGTAACACCATGAAACATGATAATAATCCGAAGTCAATAACTGTGAACATTATCGATCAAACTTCACAATTACTCATTTTCTTTATGAAAGGAAAACGTGTACTCTTCCCAAGATTAATTGGCAACAAATGGTAGAAAGCAATTAATTTATCACTTAATTAAGACGTGTAACGGACTGTAACACCGATCAAAAATACGAAACTACATCACGCAAACACGAATTTATCGTGTATTGCCGATGAAAAGTTTTGTACTATTATGTTCGATGTCCGATCAAATTAGGATAATCGTAAAATATTGAATTTATAGTAGTCGATTTATAGATAAGAGTAAAGTAAAATAGAGTAATTATGAAAGAAATACTTGTGCGAAATGATACACTGTAGTTATTACAGAAATGGTAATAGCAAATTAAAGCACCACATTTTTGTATGCATTCAATTACTGGTTCTTATATATACTCCTTTTTACTGTTTATTTGATTAATTGTTTTATTTTTAAAGAGTTTTCCATTTTTATAAGTCCATGTTCTCAATTATCATCACTTATCATCAAAAATCACCATCGATTATACCGTGCATATTATAGTTCAATATTCATAGTTTTTCATAATTTATGATTTGTTATAACAAAAATTCAAGGAAATTTGCGGAAAATCTGAAGTAATAATTTTACTATATAGAATACCTCTAAGATTTTTTCCAAAACGTGATATCTTGAAACAATGATTTTTCATATTTTATTATTCATTATAATTTCTGAACGTGGAGATACGTCATTTTACCCAGTTTTTACAATTCCATAAGCAAGAGGATAAAATAAGTAGTTATTTTCGAAGTATGACTATGAGAAATGAAATGTCTTTTCTTAAAAAAGAAATGTTCTTTACTGCAATTTCGTACTGGTGATGTGCATAACGAAAGTATAATTTGTTTCAGTAATAATAATAGTAACAGATGTTGTACTAACAATATCTAACTTTAAACAATGTTTTATTATAAAATTCAGTCACGTCAGTTGTTAATTTGAGATATTTCTGTTTTGATCGATTGTTTTGTACCACTGGTTCCAAAGCAAGTTGAACGTGCAACTCGCCTACCTAAAACAGAGATACCCCGCGACTTTTCCAATTTGTGACGTCAATTTTCGAGGCTCCATCGCTCTGAAGGGCCCATTTAAAAGGAGAAGCTTTAAAGAATATGACCATATTTATTTTTAATTTAAACCCTTTATGCCCCCCGTTGAAAAAAACGCAAAAAAAGAATTTGTTTAAATTTTCCGACAATTTATAACAAATTGTTGGAGTGAAAAAAAAAATATTTTAAAATAGCCCAATCCTTCATGAATAAAACAAAAACCAATTTAGCTAAATCAATTGAATAGTTTCTGAGAAAAAAATTCGTAAGTAAAGCCTATTTTTGCCAAAATGAGCAAAAGTTGCACACTTTGAAGGTTTGTTATTCCTTAACAATTTCGAAACCGCCCAAATAATGACTTAAACCCCCACTAATTTCATATGGACTTCAACATATTTGGATTAGAGTAAAATCGCAGATGGTGAGATCCAAAAGTGATCGATTTGGCGTGGAATGTCCCATATTGATTAAAGCCTCTATCTATATTAGATTATACTTGCTCAATAAAACATTTCAATTTTATAGCAAAATATTTAGTAAAATATATTATAGTAATTATATAATACTATATGCAAGCACAATAATTATGCATGTATATGTCTGCTACATCTGTTACTTACCTAATTCTTTTGTTATTTATAAAAATACAAGAGTAATGCATCAATAACGAGTTATTTCATTTTAATGAAAAATGTCATGGATCATCTGAAAGTCATATGCTCTTCAACTTCTTAAAAATCTTAATCCTTTTAACTAGAACTGTCTAATTTTTCATAAAAGTCAATTTTTTGAAACATGTTTCGTATTATTGAATACACATAATTACGTCTATTTGAATTAATGAGATTAAATTCTGAATTATTTCTAAATTAAGGAGATTAAAGGTTAACATTTATAAATGTTACCCAGGAAATATTATCTTCGTCAATATTATCTTCGCAAAACGAATTCCTTTTTTCTCACATTTATTATAATACAGTTTCTTCTTTGCAGTTCTATAGTTGAAACCACTTTTTCACATTACGTCGACATAACAGCATTTGCAACAATTTTAATTAACGTCAGAAAGTTCAGTTTTATTGCGCGAACAGATAATACTTTGCTCCTAACGAAGCAACATTTTTGCTGCTTCTGTACTTCCTCAAGTTTTTAGAACACTATGAACGTTATATTTACTTCCAGTAACGAGGTTCACTATTTCTCTGCAAGTTTTTCCTTATTTACACTGCATTAATATTAATTTGTACATTTTTAATTACGGTTCCATTGCATTCATGGCTTCTACACTCTGATGGTTGCACGCTATTTTATCATGCAATTTAGAGTGCATATCTATTGCTGAAATCCGTTTTAAATAATTAACACTTCTAAACTAGTATCAAATCCTGACATATTATTTATATATACAAAAAACATATTTGTATCGCTTTATTTTTTATCTAAAAATAATTTTTTTATTTTTTATATAAAAATAATGCGATAATGCATAATACATTTTTTAATGTATTTTCGTATGAAAATATTATTTACATTTTATTAGAATTTATATTATACGGAAACAATTACTAACACGCTATTTTTACATAATTTGTAATTTATGCTGCAAACGGCATATTAGATAGTTTTAGGCAAACATTTATGAGCAATCTCGTGATAACAAAAAGACAGAAATGGAAGGTTTAATATTTCATTTTAAATAGTCGTATCTAGAGATTTGTCTTCCATTTTGATTTCACATAGAGAGCAAAAATTTATTAGAAAAATTTGGTTATTATTATTAATTAATCAGTAAAGCAGTTATTCATTTTGATACCAAGTTTTGCGTGTTATTGCTAGAATGTCTACAACAGTTAAATAAATATTCAAGAACTTTGACAATTTTATTCAACAATATTTATTTTTTAATATTTTAAAATTACGTTCAATTTTTTAGTTTCTTAACTTTTTGTTTAACTTTTCTTTTTTTTTAATTCTTCAAACATAATTAATTTAATTAATTTTTGTAAATGTAATTAATCTACCAGGCTACTTATAAATACTCACAAAATATGAGCAAATGCCTTGTTAGCAAAAATTTTTAACAAAATTAAAGTATTACATATGTTACTCTATACTTTCTAACAAGTTGCAACATATACATTCAGCGAATACCATTCTTTAAGTTAAACGAAAATTGGGTAAAATGTATAATTATACGGTACAGTTTACTTCGCCGCAAGCTTCGACGTAGACTTTCTAGTTTGTTTATTCATGCATAAAGAGGTCCAAAAGATCAAAAAATCATGACTTTCGAGTGCGCAGTTCATTCAGTCATAAGCTTGGAAAGTGATTTGATCTGACATAGATATAAGAGGGAAACAAGGCACGTGCCGTTTTTCATTTCTCTTCACATCGTCCAGCGAAATGGAATCCAGCAAAACATGTTCGTATGCAAGCACACACATCTCGTTGGAACGAGATTTATAAGTGTAATAACAATTTCCGGGGCTGTATTATGCAAACTATTTCGAATACTGTATTAGAATACTGGCGTGCAAGGACGATTCATTTTACCTACCACAAACTTCACACCCTAATTTAGATTCTTATCTTTGTAGGTTTTAATTTTCTGTACAACACTTTCATTTTTGTTCACTGAATTGAAACTTCACGCTGAAATTCACACATGAGCTTATGCAAATAACGTGTCGATAATAACAAACATGTGAACATAAATATTAAATGTACAGTGATGGAACAGTTTGAAAATGGAAATATCTTCTGCAAATAAGAATGTAGAACACAAGTAGTTAATGTTTTGACACATTTTAATAATTCATTATAGTTAGATGCACAATTTGAAAAAATGAAAGTTCTATTTTTGTGGACTACTAAAGTATCTATCAATTTTGTAAATTTAAAATATTTTTTTATTACTTTACTATACTTGCTAATTTTCTACTGTATTCTATCTTTTAACTATTTCAATATGATGCTTACTTTGTACATATAGTATATTAATTTTCATATGGGTCAATTTTGTCAAATATTTTAATTAGAAAGTCATAAGAGTATAATAATAAAAATAACTGAACAATTCTTAAATTACAAAATGAAACAAGTCATTATAAAAATTGAAAGAAATCACAGTAATTATTAACTACTACTCAAATAAAATGAAACCAAACATTTGTCAAAGCAAAATTACACCCATAACCACACTACCGTACTTAACATTTGTCAGAATTCTCCTTCGCGTAAAATGATAAGTACATTTCTCAGACCTTACAACTTGTAGACTCAAGTTACGAAAAAATTCGCTCTTGATCGATATTCACCCATGCAATGTTGTCTTACCATTCTAATTTGAGGTCTTCAATCAAGGGTTAAATCCACTTTAAGAAACACCTTCGCACCAATTACTTCTTGACGAATGAGCATCAATCAACATTCTTGAAATAAACCTAAAGAGAAACCGGCAGTTACGTGATACCGTGTTGAAACTTGACAGGTCATTATCTTACTTTGTAGGTGCGTAAGAACCCCAGAAGAATTGTGGAAATGTTGCACGGGTTAGTGATAGTCAGTTTGCTATATTTGGCAAGTGAAGGTGTTGGGGGTCTGCAAAAATGGTCCACACAATTTGGTCAGGCACCACTTTTGGAAAGATTTTCCTGGAGAGAATTGGACTTCGCTTACCCGGATGCAGCCAGCAGAAGAATGGCGATGATGAAGGGAGAATTTATTCCTGAGAATGCGCTGCCCGTTGGAATAGAAATATGGAGGAATAAGCTGTTTGTTACCGTTCCAAGATGGCGTAATGGTAAGTCGAAAATACAATTTCCTGTAATATGTGACTGTACACATAACTGTAAAATGTAGACCTATATTACACTTGTGTAATGGATACTCGAGTGTAATGTTAACTGTCTTTGGATAAGGATCAGTGCAGGAGAAGTCTCATAACATTTTCATTTTATTTTTATTTTATTTATTTTAATGAAAATTTGAGCATGTTTTAATTTTACATACTGAACCCTTTGAAATTTAAAAAGTCATTCGGTGTTTGAAAATTAAGAAATTTGGAAATTTTCATATTTAGTTTGTGAATATTCAGAAGTTTGATAATTTTCGAATTTGAAAGTTAGAAAACCTTGAACAGTTTTTGCTTTAACTCTTGGTATAAATACCGGGTCACTCCTGCACAAAAAATGATCATACGTGATCTTATGTCTACCCCTAGAGAGAAGACATCGCTCTACACTTTCTAAATCTAAGTTCAATTAAACTTCCTTACCGGTCAGAGGAAGACTTGTACGCGGCACATCGACCATACCTTTCCCGTATTAGAAATGTATGAAATAATGTAAAGAATCTGAAAAAGGAGACGCTCCTTACACGACACGCGGTACCTTCAAAGACTTTCTTTGCAACTACTTTTTAACCGATCGCTATTCTTTCCTGCTACCTAGTTCAATAGTCGGACCGTACAGAACCGTACGCAACCTCGTATACTTAATTGGTTCGTAGCCAGTAGAAATTCGTAGAAAACCAAATTGCTATACGTTGAATCTGTTGATGACGTTGACCAATCTAACTAGTTAAACGCAGTTTACGGACATACTCCAATTTAGATTTTATAACGAAACCGAGTTAATGAAAATTGAGTTTTTTTTAAGGACGAAACTATTTAATCAGTGGACAAATAGTAACGAAAGTCCGTGTAGAAAATGTTGGGTGTCAGGAAGCTGCCTCGAAGATTGCACAATGCACGGAAGATTACCGTGGCCGGTGCACGCTTCGAATCTCGTCTGGTCGACTTCCGGTTGACGACAAAAAATGCCGAAAACCGCGTGAGCGATTCAATAGAGCATTTCTGTCTCCGCCTCCACTGAAATCTTCGAAGCAGCGTTTGTGACCCAGAAGAGAACCAGGGGTGAATGGGCTTATTCACTCTTGCGCCCTTTTGTTTCCCACTGTTTTGCCCTCGGTACTTTATGTTTATTATACGCGATGGCGCGCGCCAGGCCATCCTGCACAAAATGAAAAACTTGACAATGCAGCGGGCACAGTGTGTACGATCTTTCATATTTCGGTCCTTAACCCTTCTTCTTGTCGATACTCGCCAGGTTTTTTTTACTTACCTTCGTTCTCTTATACACTGGTCCTTTCGGTTCTTGCTCGTATTTTAACCCTTTATTAGCCGCGCGCTTGAAACCGCTGCCTTTCACTACAGTCTCGAGCTTATTAGCTACTCATTTAAATTTTGGTAGTTTTATTGACCTTTTTGCTGGTACGTAATATTTCTTTATTGCAACCCTTGTACTTTGTTAGGGTGGTTACTGTACTTGTGTATCTCGGTTTTAAGATGGATAATTAAACAGAGGTGTAAATGACATTACTGAAATGTTAAAGTTTATACATTTTTGATGTTCTATGTTTTTTTATTTATCATGTTCGTAAATATTCGAATTCTCGAATTTGCGGAGTATGAAGTGTTCGGTTTACTTTGGCAAGTTTTAAACGTTTCGTTATAGTCATTATACTATATTATAATAGTAATTAATCTTATAACCATTACAACTCCAAATTTTCAAATAAAATTTGTATCGTGTTTGCAAGTTTCCAATTTTCAAATTAATTCTGAATTTTTCTATTTTGAAATAACCTAACTGAAAATATGTAAATTTTTAGACCGTTGAGTTTAAGAATATCCAAATTTTAATGTTCCCATATTTTTGAGTTTTCAAATTTTCTTGTTTTCAAGTATTCGTACTTTCATATTTAAAATTTTAAATTCTTAAATTTTTAGATATTCAAACGTAAGACTATCAAATGAGGAAATCTAAAAATGTTCTAAAGTTCTCAGTTTTTAACTGCCTAGATTCTCAAATTTTTTAATTTTCAAATTCACAGATTGGTCCATCTCCAATTTTCTAATGTTTGAAATTGTTTAATATTCGAATAACTAAATTACTGAATTACTGAATTACTGAATTACTGAATTATTAGATTATTGAATTACTAGATTACTAGATTACTAGATTACTAGATTACTAGATTGCTAAATTGCTAAATTGCTAAATTGCTAAATTGCTAAGTTGCTAAATGGCTAAATTGTTAAATTGCAAAATTGCAAAATAGCTAAATTACTAAATTAACAAATTACCAAATACCAAATTTCTATATTCTCGAATTCCCAAATGCCCAAATGACCAAATGACTAAATTATCAAATTTTCAAATCACCAAATTATTAAATTCCCAAAATCCCAAATTCCTAAATTTCCAATTTTCCAAGTTACCATACTTGCAGATTTGTCAACTTTCGTATTCTTTATTTTCAAATTAACAAGTTCTAAAATTTCTGAACCACATATCCACAACGACTCTAAAATACTTTACAACACAGTTCAGATAACAGCGGAGATAATAGCCATTTTAGTGATAATGATGATCATAATAATCATAATAATCGTGATAATGAAGAGAATAATGCTGATAATAATCACAATAATTGCCATCATAATAGTAATATAATTGACCATAGTCGTAATAATAATTATAGTAATAAAAAGCTTAATAGTATTACTCTTAATGACAGTGTGAATAACAACCATAACACCAATAAATATCATGATAATAATGATGATAATAGCCATAATAGTAATGGTAGTAATAATAATAATAGTGTACAAATCCATCATACGCTCATCTCGTTTCACGATAACTCAAAAATTATTAATTAATCGATATCAAAATGATTTTATTCAAGAACAAATTAACGATCATTTCCTTTTCCCTTTTGAGATTTCTTCAATAATCTCCTTCTCATTCCTCACCACTGACGTCTCTCTTCAACCCTTCCGATCTCGTTCTTGCCGTTTCTCGTTTACATTTGTTCGTCAATCTTTGCATCTCGTCGGTCTCCTGGAAGTTCTCCAGACGCGTCAAAGCCCACCGTGGTTGGCATTGTTTTTACATCAAGTTTTTATGTGTACACACAGCTTTGTTTCGCTCGGTTCTTTCTTCGAACGTCAGGTTCGCTTGAAACGCCAGACAGAGGATATGAAATATTAAGAGAGGAAGGAACAGGAAAGGAAGGTTCCTGTCACAGGTTTGCAGACTGACAGAATAGATTTCGACTGTTCAATGAACCCTTTCCGAAAATCTTAAATGGGTACTGGCGTGTGGAGCTGATTGTTTTAGAATTCGCCATTACACTCCCTCCACGAGAAGTCGTGAACTATTTTTCTTTTTTTCCAATAAACTCGGAATCGTATTTTGTAAAATTTATTTTGTAGAGTTTGTTATTAAATTGGATTTGAGATGTTTATAGGTTATGGTGAGTGCGTGTATGTACAATACTTAGATAGTTAATTGCATACTTTGGTAATTGCAGTGTAAAATGGTAATCGTATCGAATTCTTGCAATTGTTTTATTTAGAAAATGTTAGGTATGTTTTTCATAGGAATTTTTTTAAGAATTCCTAAGTTTTCAAATTTTCAGCTTTTGCAGATTTTCGGATTTTTAAATTTACACATTCTTTTAAATTTCTAATTTCCCGAATTTTTAATTCGCTTTTTCAAAACTTTTAAATTTGCGAATTTCTAAATTTCGAAGTTCCCAAATATAAAAATTGTCAACTATTTAAATTTCTAAGTTCAGTTTCCTAATTCTTGAAAAGTTATCAAACTTCAAAAATTTTCAGATTCTCAAATTTTTACATTCCCAAGTTCCTAAATTTTCAAAATTCTTAACTTTCCTAATCCTTGAATTCTCATACTTAAAACATTCTCAAACAACCTAATTTCCAATTATTCAAATTTCTAAATTTTCCATAAATTGTCAAACCCCTAATTTTTCGAAATCCCTAAACTACAAATTTTAAAAACACCTTCAAGCTGTGAATTCACTTCCAATTAACCTACTATAACCTACGACCTAAATATAACGTACCATAGTGTCAAAGTACGCAATAACTTTGTTTAGATTGTTGTGCTGACATTTCCTTCAGCTTTAAAATGTTAGCACACCAGCTGTATGCAGTTTGCTTTCGTCACGCAATGGTGACATGTCAAATGATTTTTATATCATTATAGCCTGGTATTTCTGATTTGGCAATGTTTGAATAAGCCCATTATCCATGTTAGCGCCCAGCAAAAATTTCGCGGAGCTACCACGTGTATTAGAGGTAAACTGATAAAATCGGAAGGTGAGGCATGTTACGTTTAGATTGATCGATACCTTATTGTTGGTCACGCGATTTATTGATCATTACACTGTCAAGTGAATTTTTATAGTTTTTGCTATGAAGCGTACCAATGTACATTGCATGATATGGATTTTGTTTTGAAACTACATCGAGATACTTTCTAATGTCAAAATTGTGTAACATTCCCGAAGAAACTTTTTTGCTTTTCATCTCCATCTTAGTTAGGTACGATTTAACATAAAGCATTAACTAGCGAATTACATTTTGTTAGGTTCATTTTTCTCTAATTACGTACTATTTAATTTGTCGAGTTTCCATTATTATTATTATTCAATCAAAGTCTATTTAGTTTCTTTTAATCAAGCCAATATACTTTTCATATTTTGTTGTTATTTGTTATCTATTAAATTCATCATTTTCATTGTTTTATTGAATAAACCTAATTGTTGAAAGATTGACCTGTGGATTTCACTCCTTAACCGCACACCACACGAATCCCACATTCTTTAAATTTAGTTATTTGCAAAAACGAGTCGTTCAGTAGGTAAAAGCCGCTCTTTACCTCATGAGCGCTGTTAACATCTGAGCCTAGGTTCCAGAGTCGTTACAATTGGTTTGTTAAGACACTTGAATAGTATTTAGTTGGAAGTTGAAATTTTTTAATTATTTCATATGGTAACATGTATCATATTACTTATGATATAACATTTAACACGTTTATAACATGTATGGAATATGTAATTTTGATGAAGAATACAGTGGAAATTTGTTATTTGTTACAAGTATACAACATATAATGAATTGTTAAACTTTTGCTTGCAATAATATATCATTTTTCATTAAATAAATTTCTTCAATAGAAAAGACCAAGTTATTGTTATATTCTTTTTAATATAACTTGTTGAAGCTAACAAATTTTTTGTATAAAATTTAAAAACTTACGTTTTAGAACGAATATTAAAAATGATTGCTGTTATTTATACAGTATTATATCAGATTTACATTTGTCGTTTATTAACGAACTCTCATTTTATCAGCATAATTGGCTAAGAAGTACCATAATTGAAAGCACTACCTTCAATTATAAATAAATATATAAATATATACATTATCAAATAATTTATATATAAACATACTAAATATTTTGAAATAGGTATACCAGCAACGTTAAATTACATATCACTGGACACAAATCGAGGAGGTTCGCCAAAACTTACCCCTTATCCTAACTGGGCGCAAAATAAAGCCGGTGCTTGTGGAAGTGCAATTACCACTGCTTACAGGTACGTATAATTTAATTTATTACTCTGACAAATTTCTTTAATAATGTTAAAACAATTTTCTAGTCGTTCAATTCACAGAATTTGCAAATTCTTAGGTATCTAAATTTTCAGGGTTCTAAATTCTCAAACCTTAAAATTTCTGAACCTTTTTATTTCCAAAGTTATACATTTTTAAATTTCTGAATTTCTGAATTTCTGAATTTCTGAATTTCTGAATTTCTGAATTTCTGAATTTCTGAATTTCTGAATTTCTGAATTTCTGAATTTCTGAATTTCTGAATTTCTGAATTTCTGAATTTCTGAATTTCTGAATTTCTGAATTTCTGAATTTCTGAATTTCTGAATTTCTGAATTTCTGAATTTCTGAATTTCTGAATTTCTGAATTTCTGAATTTCTGAATTTCTGAATTTCTGAATTTCTGAATTTCTGAATTTCTGAATTTCTGAATTTCTGAATTTCTGAATTTCTGAATTTCTGAATTTCTGAATTTCTGAATTTCTGAATTTCTGAATTTCTGAATTTCTGAATTTCTGAATTTCTGAATTTCTGAATTTCTGAATTTCTGAATTTCTGAATTTCTGAATTTCTGAATTTCTGAATTTCTGAATTTCTGAATTTCTGAATTTCTGAATTTCTGAATTTCTGAATTTCTGAATTTCTGAATTTCTGAATTTCTGAATTTCTGAATTTCTGAATTTCTGAATTTCTCATATTATCAGATAAAAGGTCATCTTTATAATTGTAGAACAATTTATACTGAATCAAAATTTCGAATCCTTTGATTTCCAGAATTCTCAAATTCCAAAATTTCAAATTTTCTGAATTCCCAAAATTATCAGATAAAAAATCTCTTCAATTATTTTTAGAACAACTTACAATTAATCAAATTAATCCTTCAATTTATAAAGTTTTAAATTTTCTAGATTTCCGAGATTATCAGATAAAAGACCTCTTTAATAGTTCTATAATAATTCACAATTAACCAAAGCATAATATTAAGGAAATGTTTATTGCAATAAATTTATTATCGTAAGTGAAATATAATTAAAATTGCTATCATTATTATGAAAACATTAATTAAGTTTCAAATAAAATACAATAGCTTAATTGTTATAATAATGCAAGATCATAACTGCGTTTTTATTCCACTGTAAATATTACTTGCACTAATTACATTGGTTTCATAATCTCTGACACAGAACGATATACATTGAATTGTGCGAATAAGGAGAAAGTCATGATGATAAAATCTTGTAAAACCGGACAGATTTCAATCTACACTTTATCTTTTATTCTTGATCACACAAAGTTCTCGTTAAGTGAAACGTGTGATCAATGAGACAATTATTAGATCCATAATTGGGAGTATTAGACCTGTGAGAATGTTCTCTCGGCTTCCTTTGCGCAATATCGATATGAGAAAACCGTCAGACATGTGAGAATGTTGATCTTTTTCTAACACTAAAGCTTTTAATTTATTTTGTTAATTCAATATGTATCATATTGCAATTTTTAAATAAATTTCCAACAAATTTGAAGTACCATTAAAGTTGACTGAATATTGTATTAATAAATCCTTTCAATATTGTATTAACACATTTTTTAAATATTGTATAATATTGTTTGAAAGACTAAAACTACAAGGAACTTACAAAATTTGAACAAAAATAAATGCAACTTTACAATAAAAGTAAAAATACTAACAATAAGTAAATACTAGTTTTGACAAATGAATAATGAATATAAAAGTAACCTTTTATATTTTTCCTGTTCTTAAAAATAATCGTTTTATTCTGTAGTTCAATATTTTAAACACCTTTCTAATCGATACAATCTGTAAACCGATAAAATCATTATTGCTAGGTCAGTTTGAGAAACACTGAAGCGAAAAGATCTATGTAATCTGTATCCCTAGTCAATCACTAAAGCCTTGCATGTTGTGAAACCACCTGTATGCTAGACTTGTCCAATTTGAATAGACGTTCATTAAACACGAGTTATGATCTTGATGGTTAGTCAATGGGCGATTGTGTTGCTATTGTTGCAGAATACACGCAGATATTTGCGACAGACTTTGGGTACTGGATACTGGTACCATAGGTATTGGAAATACCACCATACAAGCATGTCCCTACACTCTGAATGTCTTTGATCTGACCACTGATAAAATTCTGAGACAGTACAGGCTTAAAGCTGAGGACATCAACATGGTAATTATTTAATACAGTATTAACAACTTCTTGCTCTTCGAAATTTTAAGTAAACTTTACTAATTTAGCTTAGGTAGCTTAACTAAGTTTTACTTATATTCGAAACAATTATTTATGTGATAAATATTGATGAAGTTTTGTCTACTATCACTACTAGCTCTATCACTCTAAATGATAAACTACCATCTTCTGATAATTATTTTATTTGAAAACAGAAGATATTAAACCGTATAAATTACTGATATACAAATTATTATTATTTCTATGGAAAATCGTGCAAAAATTTTGGTTTAATTAAATGTTACTTAAAATTTAGATTTCTTTCAAATTCGTATATTTTCTTCAAAATAATCTAATAGAAATTAAATTTGGAATTGAAGAAAACTTGTATTTACTATATAAATTTTTCTTTTAAAAGAAACTAAATAAAAATCATTTCAAGCGACAACTCAAGCAAACAAATAACATTGCGTCTTAAATATCTCGCTACATTTCTCAAACCGTTCCAAATTGCTTGAAAATATTATTTTACTTAACCTAAAATGCAATAATGAAAAAATATTTTCGAACACTAAATGTAATAGTGAAAAAATATGATTTGATATGATTTTTTTTTATAGAATACTTTCATCGCGAACATAGCAGTCGATTTGGGTAAAGGTGGCTGTGATGACGCGTACGCCTACATGTCTGACGAGCTTGGATACGGTTTAATTGTTTATTCCTGGGAACAGAATAAGTCTTGGCGCATTACGCACAGTTATTTCATGCCAGATCCTTTGGCTGGTGATTATAACATTGGCGGTTTAAATTTCCAATGGGGAGAGGAAGGGATTTTCGGGATGAGCTTATCTCCAATCACTGCGGACGGATTTAGGACACTGTTCTTCCATCCTCTTAGCAGCAGGAGAGAATTTGCTGTTTCTACCAAGATTCTCAGGGATGAAGATTTGTCTCAAGACAGTTATCACGAGTTCCAGGTAAGAAAATTCATGGTATTGTTATTAATATTTTCTAAGGACCGCTCTGTTCGTTTGTGGAAGTTTGTATATTTAGATCCTGTCGGTTATTTATTATAAATTATACCTAAACTATTAGAAAGAAAAGCTATTAATATTTAAGCTGTTGAGATAAAAATTATAAATTTAAATTATTGTTTATTTTTTGTAATACATATTAATTATTATACAAATTGATTTTAACGACTATACAGATGTAGATGTACAAATATACTCATACATATGTTTGATTTAGAAACTTTAAATTTTGATGATCTCTAATAAGGAATTTATAATATTGAAGAGAAGTTTATTTTGCAAAAGTAATGAGTTATGAAGAAGGAAGGAACAGTTGTGAAATATTTATTATTTTACAATGTAATTATTGTATATTAAATTTCAATCTTACTTTTATCCATTATACCTGTTGCATAAAACGAATCAATTATGTCTCAAATAAACGAAAAAATATCGTACAGACTGCAGAGATATCCTGAAATAAAAATAGTGTTATTAGTATGATATATAGTGTCCATTATAACAAATATGCTTCATTATGGAAGAAATGCTAACATATTAAAGTGACTGCTTTAAATTATTTATCGCTACTGTAAAAATACTTTGTTCTCAAATTGCAAAAATAACATAATTATTATTTATGATAGGTACTTCCAGAAAGAGGACCACTTGGTCACTGTACTGCCTCTGTTATGGATGACACTGGGCTTCAGTTTTTCAATCTTATCGATCAAAATGCAGTAGGTTGTTGGAGCTCTTTACTCCCATATGCTCCTGAAAATCAAGCACTCGTAGCAAAACATGATGACGCTTTAATATTCCCAGCTGACGTCAAGGTAAAATACTTTTCTTTATTTTAGTTAATTTTGTTCTATACTGCCTTTGTAGTGCATAATTTGTAGTACATAATGCATCACATACTGCACCTATAGTGCATATTTTCATTTAAATACTGCATCCACAGTGGATAATTTTAATTACATACCGTATTTACAATATATAATTTCAATTAAATACTCCATCTGCAGTACATAATTTTAATCACATACTGCATATTGCATATCAACATGCAATATACTACCAAAAATCGTATAAAAAAGATTGGATCTAGTAAACACTGCTCGAAATATTTTTTAAAACTTAGTTGTGTGAGTTCACTCAACTCGCCTTGAATGTATAAGTATTAAAGCCGTTTAAATATTTATATGAATGTGCACAATTTTTTTTTTAATTCGTGACTTTAAGTGAACATAATAACATAATAACAAATGAACATATTAATATTCTTTAAGTGGAAAAATTACGAGTAGTTGGTATCTATCACTCTCCTTTTAGAAAGTTTTAAAAATGTCCAACCATTTCAGAATTTCTAATCGTACTTCGATAAAATCACCTTCTACATATTACAAACGAAGACAAATTTTTTTAGCAATGTTTAAAACATACGGTTCTATTTCTAGGTGAATCGTGGCGTCCTGTGGATTATATCTGACAGAATGCCAGTTTTCCTGCTCTCGACTTTGAATTATACCGACGTGAACTTCAGAATATTAACAGTCCCAGTTCGAGATGCGATCGCTGGTACAGTTTGCGAGAGCTCACCCTGGGGTTATGTTAATACTAATGCATTATGGTGGGAACAATGACGTGACTCCTCGAAGTTATCGAATTTAGTTGCACTTGTGATAGAAATATCATGTACTCCATTTGCTTTGTTAAAAAACGAATTGTTGTATGCTAATGTTAAAAGACAAAAATAAAATATAGAACATGAATGTTTCTTTTTATGTTTTCTTACTTTCTCCCGATGAACGTGAAGAACTCTGATAAATCTCATAAAAATGACAGTGTGATATATTACAGGAAGACATTTATTAACATTACATTACGATACTAAATGTCCACAATGTTACTTTTTACATTCGTCCCTGCTTTTGCTGACTAATGAAAAGTATAATTCTTTATGATGCTGTTTGCATCCTGATCGTACACAGCAAAAACTATTAAATGCAATTACCAGAAAATACTATATGTTTAAGTAAACTGATAACATCTTTTTAATCAGTGAAGACCAAAACTTGCAACCTTTGCAATGCTGCTCAGGATGTTGGTCTCCACAAAGTATTTGGAGGTCACGGAAACTGAAAATATCTTCCTTTCTACAAATATTCGTTTCTTCATCGTCGATAAAGATTTGTATCTTACCTCAAAGTTTTATTTAAATTTTGCAGCGTGCCCCTTCTAGTTTTTAGCTTTCGTAAAATATAGTTGATGTAATTAAAAATGTAATTAAAATTAAATTAGTAAACAGTTTCAGAAATCAGAGTCATTCGTATGAATGAAAAATCAAGTACCGTAACCGAGTTGTCTAGCAAGATAAACGATCGATCTTATTCAAACGTGTTTCCGGTTGTTACGCTTCTCTAATCAGTCTACAGTCACCAATTAAGTGAAAACGATACCAGGAAGAGACGATCTTCACCACGCACTTTCCTGTCGAAGGGAAACCAAGACTTTAATTGCAGGCAATAGATCTTACGGTACGTGGAAATGACATGTAATGGAACTAAACGAGACCATTTTCACCCGTTCTCTGGCAGTTTAATTTACGTAGTTCGCAATTTCTCCTCGTCAGGAACTCTTTGTTCTAGCCAGTTTTTGTAAGAGGGAAGTAATCATTCATCATGGTTGTTCATTGATTCTTGAAACTCATTTACTATTCGAAGAAATTTAAAAACTTGTGTCTCCGTGTTTAATGAATACCCATATTCATTTAATGAATACTGATTTCAATTATACATATATTATTTTTTCAATTCTATTTTTTATTATTTAAATTAGAGAAATGTAAGACTGACAAATTTTCATGGAAGAGATTATCTCAAAATTATAAAAATCAGTGAAAAATATTCGTTTGAATAAAAGAATTTGTTACATTAATAGAATTGTATTTTTCATATTTAAGTTATATTTGCTATACATATTTATTGTTATAGTTATCAGTTATATTTATTATATTTGTTAACATTATATTTATAATACTTATTGACATTATATTTATTGACCATATATTTTTGAAATTTATTAAAATTATATTGATATTTGTTGACGTTATATTTATAACGAATCTTCACATAAATTAAAAAAGAAAATATTTAACAACCTCATTCGATTAATTCATTAATTCCCAGTAACCGTCAATAAAATCAGTTAATCCTGTTTTCATTGAACTTATACTGTTTGGGCATAACAGGTTCCACTTAGCGATCCATTAAAACTTTAACATGATGGCTTGCAATCGGTGACTCATTGATCGAAGAAACCCCGATATAAATTGCACTAAACGACAAATGAGTTGTCCTAGTTAAATCACTTGTCCCACAGTCACTGACATATGTTCCGCGTGTTACGTGATACACACTTATTTCCACCATTTCCGATCGAGACTTCTTCCTTTCCAGTTACCAAATCAACGTTCAATTGCTTTCTAAACACACATTTTACTAATTAAAGCCTAGAAAACGACATCGAATAAAACCTTGTTATTTCCATTTATAGCTTACTTAGACTAACTGGTAAAACAACTTGACATTTATGTTATTAGGATTGTAAACAAACTCGCTGACAGCTGTTTGCCACTTTGTGTACTTCACACTTGGTCAAGTACACGGTAGGAGAAGTTATCAAATTTTAGATCGTCTATATTCTTTCTGAATAAATTCAACGTTTTTATGTGATGGTTTTAAGTATTCTTACATAAAATTATTCTTTGCAAGTTAATCTTAAATTATATTTCTAATCTCTTATTCAGTTGTTATTAAATTAATAAGTAAACAAAGTGTGAACGATAAAGGTAATTGCACATATAATATTGTATGTATAGTACTATATATATCTAATGATTAATCATCTAATGATATACATCTAATAATAATGATCTAGTGTGGACGACTATAAAGGCATTTCTTCAATACACATTGATAAGTTCTTCGTTGAAGTAAATATATAACTCAACTGTTGTATAATTTAATAGTATACATTCTAGTAAATGTGTAATTTTCCATCATTTACGTGTTAAAATTATTTGTTTTGCTGTGGAGAATGAACAATTTACTGTGATATGGAGTTGTATTTTCAGTAAGGGTGTTAGTAAATTAGTTTTCATTAACGATGATTTAGATAGAAGAAGATATAAGTAGACTTTCTGAAAAAGTACTTAAGAGGAAAAATAACGAAATACAAAGTACCTTCAAAAATCAATAATGATCCAAATCACAGAGATCGAATAATACAGAAATGTTTGTTATATAATTGTCCGAAAATTTCACATCCACCTTCACAATCTCCAGACACAAAACCCACAAAGAATCTACGTAACGAATGAAACAAAAAAATTAGAAAACGCCAGTAAAAACAAAAGTTGAATTAAAAACAAGACTGAAAGAATAACATTCTGATGTATAAACAAAATTATTTGCAATATGTTGAAACGATTTTGTTATTAAACAAAAAAGATTTGCAAAAAAATATCAAATTGTAATTTCTCCTATTTTATGTAAAAATTCTTTATTTTTCACAAAATTTTCAAATGTGACGTAAGAATGTGATATCCTGTTTAAAATGTATTAACACGACACTCAATAAGTCCCCAGTCTGACACATATATGGCGACACTGGTGACAGACCCACGTTATTTTCGAATAATACTAACTTTCAAACAGTACGTGTCAAAATTTCATGGTATTCTGACCAATAGTTTAGAAGTTACAGTCATTTTAGTACCCCCAGTTTCGTAATTTTGAAGACAATGGATAGAAAGGAATTTCGTGTGCTGATTAAATACTGTTTTTTTATCGGAAAAAATACTGTTGAAGCCAAGAAGTGACTTGATAAGCATTATAGGGACTCTGCACCAGGAAAATCGACTATCATTGACTGGTATGCTAAATTTAAACGCGGTCATACAACCACCGATGATGCTGAACGCTCTGGTTGCCCAAAATCAGCAGTCGTTCCGGAAAACATAAAAAATGTCCACAAAATAGTTTTAAAGGGCCGTAAACTTAAGTTGTGTGAGATAGCTGATGCCTTGAAGATATCAGAAGGTAGTGTCTTCACAATTTTGCATGAAAATTTGGGAATGTGCAAATTGCTTTCAAAGTGGGTGCCGCGTTTGTTGTTTCACGAAGGCAATGCGCTGTGTCACAAGTCGATAAACATGATGGTTCAATTGAATGAATTACGTTTTGAATTGTTTCCCCACACACCGTACTCCCCAGATTTGGTCCACAGCGACTACTGGCTCTTTGCAGATATGAAAAAAATGCTCCAGGGAAAGAAATTTGGTTCAAATGAAGAAGTGATTGCGGAAACTGAAACTTATTTTGGGGGCAAAGACAAATCGTTTAATATAAAGGGAATTGAAAAGTTAGAGGAGCGTTGGAATCAATGTATCACACTGGAAGGAAAGTATATTGATGATTAAAGTAAAATTTCTAAAAGAAAATTTGTTTTTCTTAGTTAGACCGGAGACTTATTGAGTGATGTGTTACACATCAAAATGTTATAGTTGAACAGAAATTGTTTGTATATCTTGAATCTACAATAAATTCGTGTTTTTGCAAAATTAGCAGTATGATATATAAATATTCATACGAATACAATGTATACATTCCTGTATATAATGACGGAAGTACTGCATGACCTGAATATTAATGCGAGTAACTGTACGTCTGAATGTAATTTATTAATCCATGTATCTGTTCCATCGTTACGGCGTGAAAACGGTGATCGAATTGGCGTGAATCAGCCAGCCGTACGGTACCAGATGGTCCGACCTGGCCCATTAGTTTAGCCCTTGTTTCCGATAATTTGAAGGCGACCGACCATTCTATGCTCTGATATACGATCGGATATCGCTTTCTACCTCCTTTGAAAATTATCCGTTTCACGCCCCCGCTTCTAAAATATTACCACACTCTACCCTCGTGTCTCGCAGTGAAAAACCGCCTGAAACTATCTGCTACTTTTATTAAAATAAAATTTGCAGATACAATTATTCTAAATGTGATCTAATTCTACGTAATACAGTAATAGTATTCAGCTATATTTGTTGATATTATAACTTTCACGTTCCTTATCTGTACATAAAGTAATGCACCTTTTAGGTAGAAATAGTATTAACAGTCATTAAAATCACGTTCTTCGACCTCAAGAAGAAATTCATGAAGAAACAAAGAATGTCGGTATTTGATAAAAAATTAACCAAAGATCGTACATCAAAGATTTCATCGAGCTTTTTACGCACGTTCTAAGATGGTCTGGTAGCCTAGAGGCGGAGAAATTGCTTCGAAAGTCGTCGGTGGCCTGCGCCATATTCAGGAAAGGGTTCACGGCTCGAATGCTAATTTCGTAGATCGATAGATCGCAGATCGACGATACTTTGCGCCTCTAACTGGCGATCAGAGGGTTGGTAGACTAGATACGTCCGAAGATCGGTGCTCGTGATACGATGCTGTTTTCAATTTCAACAACGGACCTCTACACCTACGTATATTCTTCTGATCGTGATAACGATGGAACCTTAATGACTTCCAAAGCTGTCTCGTTAACGATACTACGTCGAGCTACTTCTGATAGTGTACAA